GCCATAACTGGGATATTTTTTTCATGGGGGAATAATTTATTTTATTTTTTAGGATTTTTAGGCTGATTTATCTTGCTTGTCAAGCAGTTAAGCAACCATCATTTTTGAGGTCAGACTGGCAAGGCCCATGGAGTGGGTTGTGCGTTTCTCTGCCGCAGGGTACGCTCCCTGCAGGGGTACGTTCAGCCTCCTGAGAATCTCACAGTTCAAATTTTTCCCTATTGCAGGAATTGAAGGAATTGGTGATTCCTCTGACATCACATGCTTTCATGTTGCTTGTACCCCCACTTGGCACCTTATAATGCATGCGTTTTAATCCTTTATGTTACAAGCCTGTAATATTTTGTGATTGTGGCAGTATTTGGACTCTGTGAACTAATCAGATAGTACTTGTGTTCCTTTGATTGCAGGGAGACTGGGCTTGATTGCCTTGATGGAGCTGACAGCAATCTGCTCCATGAAACAGAGGCTGCTCAATTACACTTGAGATTTGGCACTTTTTCTGCTAGCGAAATCATTTGAGAACCTGGACCTGAAATAATCATTTGTGAATGCAGAGGATGATGGCACTGGCACAAAATTTATGAGGCTCACCTCCTCCCTGAGCCAGCTTTTAAAGATCAGGAGATTAGAACCATGCTGAAATGATCCTGGCTGTGTACCCTAATCCCCAAGCAGAGCTCAAAGGAGAAGGGGTTGGTACCACTGACTATACGTGGTCCCCCAAACACCCTGCTACTGACTGAAATGAAGAAGAACTAGAATAGGGTAGAAAAATGTGAGTGGCCATTGGCCATTTAATTGCCACAAAGACCTTAGGTATAACAGCTATAAATACTAATTTGCTCATAACCAGTTTAAGGAGACAGATACTCTGTAGCATTCTGCAAAGGTTAGAGCTGGGCAATGATTTCTCCAGCCAAAGGGACAGCAAAAGAGTGATTAATTTGTCTCTTTCACAAGCCTGACACTAAGCTAGGTCTGCTCAGTCTGTCCCACTGTGTTGTAGTGATCTCCCACCAACGTGTGATGCATAACTTATTGTGTTGGTCTCTTCTCCCAAATGAATAATGACAGGACCAGAGGAAATGGTCTGAAGTTGCGGCAGGGGAGGTTGAGATTAGATATTAGGAAGAATTACTTTACTGAGAGGGTGGTCAGGCATTGGAACAGCCTGCTCAAGGAGGTGGTGGAGTCACCATCCCTGGAGGTATTTAAGAACTGTGTAGATGTGGCACTTCAGGGCATGCTCTAGTGCCCGAGACTGTTGGGGTTTTTGTGTGTGTGTATGGTTGGACTCGGTGATCTCAAAGGTCCCTTCCAACCATGAAGATTCTGTGATTCAAGTCACTAGTTTGAAGTCATGTAACTTTTCAAAGAATACTTGTACCTTAAAAACAGAAATGAATTTACAGAATAAAACACTGAAAAAGGGGAAAAAGAGTTTTCCTGACAACTGGCAATATTTAGCAGTGTCACCCGCAGAGACCTGAATTTTGCAGCCAGTCAATACTGAACATTAAAGCAACCTGGGAACTTAAAAATCGTGCTGTTCCTGTCTTCCCCTGCTGACGACAGCAGACAGCAAAACAGAGCTGCAAATAACTTAGAAGAAGGCATCGCAACACTGACTCCTTTCATAGCTCTGTGTCGCCTCCAGCTCCCACTTGTTAATGTGCTCACAGCAACCACACTCCTCACAGCGCTGTCACAGGCAACCGCGCTTCAGCAAACCAGGTCTAAAAATACTTCAATAAAGCTAATTGACAAGATATTTATTAAATTATTTGCTCAGCTTTGTACTTGAAACCTCAGATTGTATATGGTAATCCTATTTAGCAGCTCCAGAAGAAGTATCAAGACATAAAGCCAAAGCCATCATGCCCTCTCACACCACTTCAGCAGACCACGCCAGTGGGGGGTTTCTCAGAATCAAATTGTCTGAAAATTGCCCCAGAAGAGGATGTTACATATAATGAGATGGCAAGTGCTGCCACGCAGAGGTGTGCCTGTGCGATGGAGCCCCGTGCACCCTGGGTGCCCAGCGCCGTACCCACCGCACAGCCGCTGCGTGTGGTCACAGCTCCATCCCCACCTCATTGAGATTGCCACCAGGACTCCCAACTCACAGCGCTTTGGAGCAGGCCAGGAACCCAGCCAAGGTCAGGCTGAAAGCAAGACACCACAAAGTCCTCCAGGTAGGCTGAGCCTGTAAAGTCTACTTCTTTATATAATACGTGGTAGCGTTTTAAGTGCACAAAGTGAGGTCCTACAATGAGATTGTAGGCAGCAGTCCCCTCTCAACAACTTGTCCAGCCTAATGCAAAGACAGGAATATAGTGCTCTCCAAGAGAGGTAAGTGCAAAATCACGGGCTTCACAAATAAAGACATTTCCAAAAACAATTACACTGGATACATCTCCTTAGGAGGAAAAACCCTGCTGCTACTGCCAAGAACTTTTCTACAAACTGCAAGGCCAAGTCTTGGCTCTTCTTCAAATTCTTGCCCTTTTCATCATCGCCAACTTTCCTTGTTAGCACTTCTTTGGTGTAGTGCTCAGAGCAACACTGGCAGACAAAGGCCTCTTGCACCAGCCCACCAGAAGTTACCCTGCCCAATGGTCTGCTCTCAAAGTGCCCCTCCTGCAGCTTCCACACAGGGGAAGGTTTATTTTCAAGGAGCCGTCATCTAAAGCCTGTCATACGACTTCCTTTAAATTTGCCAGATTGAAGAGTTCTGTAAACAGATGGATTAAGTGACATAGATTTTTTAAAATTTCAAATAGCGCACTATAATTTACATACCTATTGCCATGGGAACACCTCAACAAAAACACTTATTTTCAAAGAAAACTGGCATTTCTTCACCAGGGGCTAAAAGTATTCAGCGTTTCTGAAAATGGAGCACCAATTTTAGTGTCTAAACAGGGACTCTACTAATACATGGCCGTAATGTTTTATGTGCAATTCTACTCTGAAAAGTGATTTTATATAAAGATAGCACTTTTGCAAATAATTAGACCTCATGCTTGTGCAAATTCAAGGCAATATATCACAGTTTTACTGTCTAAAATTTGCTCCCCTCAGGATAACAGACTATTTTACATTCTTATGTCTTGAATGGTTCAGGAAAACCTCTGTAACCCCATCAGAGTACGTGAGCACATGGAGAGCAAGAATGGAAGACACAAGGCAATAATTTGGTGCATAAAACCAGCTTCAGAGGTGAAATATGAAAGAACCCAGCTTAACTGAGACGTACTACTGTGTAGTTGCAGGGGCTGTCAGCATGAAAGCAAAAGTAAAAACAAACCAAAGGCCCACTATATTCAGCTCTAAGCTGCGGCGTTCAGCAGTGAAATCTCTAAGATTATACGTATGACACCACAGTGTCATTTTTACAAGTCAGGTTTCAGAACAGATCTACTTTTTTGCTAGGTGCTGTATTCAGAGAATAAAAGATGCGGTAAGTAATAAATTTCCAAGTTCAAGATCTAGAGTATAGACATCAATAAATTAATACATCCTTTAAATTTTAGGGAGGATTACTTTTCAAAAGTTATACTCTTCATATGAGAATTGTAACTGTGTAATATATTTAGGTATTGTATAAAAACATATAAAAAATTCCAGCTCCCTCAGGAGTCAAGCGGTTTGCCAGCAGGATGTGTCAGGGTGCTGCCTGCACCAACAGGCTCTGCAGCTGCCATTCCCCCTCCCAGGGCTTTGCCTGCCCCTACGCAGAAAAAGTAAATGTTTCAAAGCCATTCTTACAAGTTTCACAAAAAAAAGCCCAGACACCAGAGAGGAAATTCCTGCAGTGCACTCGCTAAGGAGGGTGCCATGGCAGGTCTGGCATCGAGGGCTGGGCAGGATGTGAATCCCTGGAGCTGTGGAGGCCCACGCTGCCTCCAGCTTGGTGAGTGTCAAGGTACGGCCGAGAGACAGCTGGGATGAGTGTGAGGGGAAAGGGAGATAAACTGGAAGGCAGGACAAAACTCACGGCAAACTGGGTTGCATGTGGAATACACCTGAAACCTTCACCCGTGTTGTTAGCCTACAATAAAACATAACATAAGCTTATCATTTAATCTTTGTGTCTGGCCCAGCGTGGACACCGGAGTAGGTGAAGAAGTTTGTTTCCCTTTCTTGCTTTTATCTTGGTATAACGCTTTGCTTTTATTTTTCCCACTGTACAAAAGAGTGAGTAATTCACAGATATATGCAGGACATGATCCAAACCCGCAGGTAAGTCAGCAGGCTCTGCAGTAGCAGTACAAAACCCTGCACATGGAATTTGCATTTATTTATTCCTAAATCATGTATGGAAGTATTTAAACTCTTTAAGAAATATGAAAGTATCATGTATTCCTCTTTCCAAAATGTCTTGAATCTTAACTGCTTTACAGTGAACAATGCTAGCTTCACTTTGAATAGGTATGTCTGACTTTGACTCTTCTGATCTTCCTTCCAAGTCTTCTTTGGCAGACTTGGCAGTGCCAGGTTAACCGTTGGACTCATCGATCTTAAAGGTCTTTTCAACCTAAACACATCTATGACCTCTCTGACTTCTCTGTAGGCAAAGTCCAGAAGCTGCACACCAACAACCACATAAATTGCAAAGTCAAGAGGAGGAAAGATAAAATTGTGCAGAGTTGGAAAAAGGTGAAAATAACAAAAACCCACCCCAAAACCCACAAAAAACACAATCACCAAACACAGTCAACCAACCAACTGAAAAAAAATGCCCAAAGGAGGAAAAAGATCAAGAAAGCAACTTGGAAAGGATGAATGAGTTTCATGTGAAAAAGGGACTTTAAAAAAAGAAACAGGAGTGGAGTTGGTAAAAGGCTGCAGAAATCACTGTGCAAAACTGATGCCTGAAATGATCCTCAGCCCTGTAAACAAAAGCACCTCTCCCTCCCCAAGTACAGGCAGCCCATGACCTTCACTGAGCAGCACAAGTATCGCCAGTAAATTGTCCCATTTTGAAAACCCACCTTCATACCAGCGGCGGCTGCTGGCCCGCTGGGGTCCACAGCCTGGATGTGGCAGGGCTTGCTCCCCCGCACCACAAAGCCCCAGCCCACTGCGTCGCCGACGATCTGGAAGGAGAAAATAAGAATGTGATCACCTTTGGGCAGCTCAGTGAAATTCAAGGAGGGTAACATCTAAATGGTTCAAGATATAATTTCAATATCTCTATACTTCCACCACACAGTAAAGGACATTGTGTACAGGCTGCCATATCACTCATGGGAAAGACTTCATTCATGATTCCCCTTGCTTTTAATGAAATTTTTTTTTGTTGAACTAGGAGGCTGCAAAAAGCAATGCTTCCAGTGACTAGGTTCAAAAATGTCTTTACGCACATTTACTTTCTCTAACAGTGAATATGAATCAAAATTTCTATCCCATCATAGTCTAGAAAGACCTAAGCAGAAAACTTCAATTTGGGTAGATAATCCACTCCTGCAGTGCAAGTATTACCAGCAGCAAAAAGTCTAGATGAGTTTGTAGAGTACAAATGTTATTGGCTTTATGTAATTTTACAGTCCATTTAAGTCAGCAGTACTACATTGGCATAAAGACAGGATAAACAACTGCAGAATCAGACCTGAAATGTGCGGAAGTACTGATAACGGAGCTTGGGATTTTAAAGCACAAACCTTAGCAAATGCAAATAAGCTCTAATTATCCCACCAGAAAACGTCTGTTTGGATTACCTAATTTGTACAACATGCAGAAAATAAAGACAAATACTGGAGACATACCGTAAAAGTTTTTCTTACGTATGGGGCTCCAGGCATCAAGAGCTCATCAGCAGTCACGGGTCTCTTTAATACTGTGGAGGCACATAAATTGATATTCAATATAAGCATTCCTCTAGAGTTTTTCCTAATAAGATAAATATGGTGTTAGGATACAACACCTTTTTGGTCCCATTTCCAGTACACTCTTTCAGTTCTTGCAGGCTTGCTTTAAAGTAGTAAAAGAGCCAAGGAAAAGACTGCAGAATAACTCTGAGTACAAATGATGAGATCTTTGGAAAATCAGGGTGTTTAGCCAACAGAATTTGTTGTCTGCAATCAATATCCATGTCCTTTGTTGAAACAAGTGACTGACTTCCCTGGCATGGAACAGGTTTTCTTCCTGGCTTGCTCTGTGCTTGTTGGGTACTATTTCATCTGAGTTGGGTTTGAATCACAGAATTAAGTAATTCTGCTTGAGAATTAAGAAAATTCTGCTTGAGTCAGGAATTATCCCAACAAAGAGATTTCTGTAATTGTAGGCAGAGACATCTTACCCCACCTTATCCAGGGACAGCCCAGGTAATCTACAGCTGGCTGGGATTTTACATGAAAGGAAATACTGGAGAGGTTCTGCAGGTGATTCCCCATTGCCTTGCCATGTAATGGGGTAATTTTCCCCTGAACAAAGCAAATGTAAAGTTCTGCCAAATCAAATCGATACCATTCTGCATACCAGTTTTTATCTGTCTATAAATGCTTCACAAGATGGAGGACAATGGGAAGATATATGTTGTTCACCATATTTGCCTGCTTCACCTCTAAAATAGCGGCTGGTTGGTTTTTAGTGATAAATAATTTTGATGATGTCTGCCTTTTCAGTCACAGGTGGAAGATAAAATTTCCCACAGATGGTATTTGAACACATTCATGAGTTTCTTAATGACATTCATGGGAGCAGGGAGAATTCTAGCACACAAACCAACATGTATTTTTTTTCTTTCCCATGGATTTTGACAAACTGTCATTTTGCCAGTGTTGCACTTTGCAGAGCATGCCTGGTCAACGTAAAAAACCTGAATGATTACGTTCATTTGACAAGTCAGAATCAGGTAAATCATCCACACAGGACTCCCTTGTGTGCCTCCCCTCATTATACCTCCAGAATTTTTTTTTGCTTGATGATTGTTTTCTACATGACTGGACAAGTCATGACCTGGGTTTTTTTTAAGCATTTGCCTACAAGAGAACTCATCTACAATAACTATACCACTGTCTTGGGTTTATTAGCACAGAGTTCAGTGACATACTCTGGGTCTGATGAGCAGGAAACGATTTGTGAAAATAATCACTTCATAGTCCAGCAGAGGATTAACGATTCCTCCATAACATTTACATCTGACAGCCTTATGTTAACCTAAGTGAGATGGCATGTGGACCTGTATTTGAACTGCAGAAGAAATTACCCTACATTGCTGGTAATTATATAATTCTTAAAAATAAATCTGTTTACTCCATTGCTGTCTTCTTTCAAATATGAGTGTGCTAAAGCTATTTAGAGTTTGAAAATTAGTCCTAAAGGAGAGTTTCTTTAAAAAAATAAAGAATTCATGAAAGGGCAACATCAGCCTATCCTTTTTCTTCCAGTGTTGTGTAATCAGCTGCATTAAAATAAACTTGTTCTCACTACTCATGGGTTGACACTTTGTATATAATCAGAACCATAAATGAATGGGATAGTCAGCATACTTTAGATAACACACACATTTATGGACAGCCTATGAATGCTGCTTTATCTGTCTCAGAAAATTTGCCAGGATGTAATTAATGGTGTAGCGGGGCCAAAGAGCTCCTCATACAAAATCTACCAGAGTATTTCTGGGAAGTATACCTGAGAGATACTTTGCCAAAACAGGATACCATGGCACTCTTCATATAGGGGCAAACTTTTGCTTGTAGGAGTAAACACATTGGAAAGTGGTGCCAGACGCCCAACAGCAGCATACTCTGAGGATGCAGTGAGCACCAGCACTGCTGCAGGGGGTCTGGTGTAGGGGGTCATGGTTTCTGCAATCATACTGAGTCTTTCAAATTATTTTAATTTAGAGCCTCATACTGAATGCCCAGCAGAACCTAAGGAGAGGGAAGGAAAAGTCCTAAAAGGAGAAAGAAAGAAAATGTCCCCATCACTATGCCTTTTTTCCTGATGGCCACTCTGCACAGCAGGAATGAAATGCACTTTAGCTCAGTCATCTCCAGAGTAAATTGTCAATGTTTTGAACAGGATTCCTATAGTGCTTGAGGCATTTTCTAGTTATCATTTCAAATGCCAGCATCCCTTTGAAAGTGTAACCTACTCATAGCTACTGAAGCCTTCCCCTGCTGCACAACGCTCCCCACACTGTCAGCACAGACCGGTAAATTTGAAATAATAAAGAGCACAAAGGACAGCAGGGACTCTGCTTTGAAATTCAGGGCTGTTTCTGAAGAAAACGGAGAAGCTGGAAACAATATCTATCCTGGTCTCTTTTTCCCTTCCCAGATGTACAGTAAGAAACAATTTTAAGCAAACGGTGGAAGAATGGGTGTGTTTAACCTTCCGGCATGGGATAGGAAATCCTTTCAAAAGGAAAATAAGCTTCAACACTAGTCTTACCTTCCTAAACAGACCATTGTAAGACCCAAACAAAAACCCAAAATGTTGAAATAGTCCCTAACAGACTAAAACAATTCTGCCTCTTTTTTAAAGGCTGTTGTTTTCTGAGCTGTGTTATTTCACAGCAACTCAAGTGGCCACGGGATAGTTAAACTCTCCTCTGACTTGCACCAAAGGAATGTCTCTAGGAGGAGAGTTGAATTGGTTCAGAGCTTGGCAATGAAGAGGCAAATCTGCGTCTCTGACTGCATGTCCTCTTAAGAGATAAACTGCAGCTCAAACCACAATTATGGGCTTGATGTAGAGATTACTGGAGGAAGACGTCTGGCTTGTGTTCAGCAGGACTTCAGGCTACAGGATGGTAATAGTCCCCTCTGGCCTACAAAACCTGTGGCACTGTGAAGTTTTAATGAACCCTTGAAAAGATAAACTTAGACATGATGCTGGGCATTCTTCATGTGGCCTCCTCCCCAGCCAGATGCCTGCGACCTGGCTCCTGTGCATCGTAAGCGATGCTGGTGCTCACCAGACTTGGGGTTGCAGAGCACGGGGGGGCTGCTGCTGAGCGTTGGGCTGCTGCTGAAGTACCCGCTGCTGCCACAGCTGCTCATGCTGCTCCTCCGTACCGCCGACACGATCTTTATCTCCTTGGTGGGACTCACTACAAGCAGAGAGAAAATACAGAGAGAATGAGAACTGGTATCAACTATTGAACCTGGTTTCCTTAAAACAATAGCAATGAGCCACACTTTCACTGACCACACTGGGAAGGGGTTAGAGTGTTTTACACAGTTAGAAGAGTCACTGCATGAGTATGATATGCTCATGTCTGCTGTAGCTAACATGATGGCTGAACTGCTTCCATTGCAGTGTCTTCTAGAAGGCATTTCAATACAGAGAAATAATTTCTTCCATTTTTCCTTCTACTTCCCATTTATTTTTTTGGTTCTTGCTATATATTGCTGTAGAGCAAATGCTGCAGGACCCCTTCCCTTCAATGTTACTCTTCTCAATAACTCCACATAGAATATATAACAAATTACTTTGGGCTTGGTGGGATTTTAAGCAGTTCTGTTTGTTCATGGACACTGATTTTTGATCAGCATCTGACATCACACTATTGATACAGGCACAAAACCCTCCCAGGGAGCTAGAGATTTGGTAAGTTGAGTGGATGGACAATCCCTTTGAACACATGACACCCTGTCCTGCTTTTTTCAGATAAACACTGAAACCCTTTCCCCAAAAAGGATTGTTTGACATCCCATGGGGTCACCCTATCAACAGCAGTATAGTTGATGAGTCACCTGAGAGAAAACTGGTGTGTTTTCTGTTGTCGTGGTTCTGCTTGCGCAGGCAAAAGGGGCTGTCATGGCTTTCTGGCATCAAGCGAGATTTCTCTGTCAGGAGCTCCATTAATCGCCGTCGCCGGCGGAAATTCATTCTGCACTGGTAGAGCAAGTTGCTGTCCATAAAATGGTGCTTGTTGGACACTGGGAAAAGAAACGGATAGAAGGTCTATGCCTGGTAGGACTGAAATCAGAGCACACCTGTCTGCAACGTGTGCACTCGCCTCACTGGAAGGAAGCAACACTGAGAGGGCTCCTCTTCCCCTCTGCAGCCTCAGGAAAAGGAGGAGGGTGTCAGCTCCACGTGGGTAGCCTCAATATACACACTTTTATAGCATGATAACAAAGTAGATACTTTAGTGGCCACTGCTGTGAGGAGTCTTTTACACTACCTTGATTAATGATAAGCACTTCTTTTTGTCAAGTGGAAATGGAAGTACTTTATCTTTCCGTGACGGGCTGCATAAGGGTCCATCTCCACGCATGCTCCCTCCTTACGCCGTTCGGTGCTGCTGGTCACTACATCGAGCTCCCTACATTGAGTTTTTTGTAAATTCATGAGTGAAGGGCAGCCCCTGGGGGCTCTGACTGACTACCTCGCTTGGAGCTCCAGGGCAGCAAAGAATCGAGACCTGTGTATTTATTTCCTCTGTCTTGTTCACCACAGACACCGTGTCCCAGACGCTTCCTGCAGGCCACTTCCTCCCCTTTGCACGGATACGCAAGGTTTGGGAACAGGCACTCGGCCAAAAAACATTTCTTATATAATGAACAGGAGTCTTAATTACAACCTGTTTTGACACTGAGAGCAAATCCCAGGTTGCTGGTGTCAGAGCAAGAGCACTGAGCCAACCCACAGGCTGCAGCATCGTCGTAACCTCTGCGTGTTGACTGCCACTGATGTTTGCATCTTAATAGCAACAAGAAATGCAGCAGTTGGATGGAGCTCTGTGCCAGGACCTCAAAGTGCTCTGAGTCCTTCAGGGCTTGACGGCAGGAAAGCTCTCTGGAGCAGTCCCTGCATTAGTACTGCAGCGTCTTAAACACCTGCAGTAGATCTCTTGGCTGCATTTTTTACACCTTCACCTAGCTCGTGTGATCATCCTGGTAGGTTATACACATTTATATGTGAAGTGTAAACAACAAAACAGATATGCCCTCCAATATCGGCCAAGTCTTTGAGTACATGACTCAGTCATTTGGCCTCAGCCTTCTACCGAAGCCACCAAACTTCCACCTTGGTCTCAGCTCTGCCCAGCACATGGGGTCCAAAAGCAGCAGAGCCCAAGGTGCTGCAGCAGAGCCCAAGTTGCTACACCAGTTCCAGAGTTTGGAGCCCTGCTGGACTGCTTTACCTTTGTCTTCATCCCCAACACACTCTTTCTTGCTCTCATCCCTTTTTAATACATCCATTTGTCTCAGATTGCTCACCATGAGCCCTGCAGAAGTAGACCACATACATGGTAGCCTTGCAAAAAAGGCTGTATTTAGACATAAATTTATGGTATGTCATTTGGTGCGTATGAGCTGAAGGAATAGCCTCAAAAAGGAAAAAGCCCAGCCACCTTCTGCAGCAGCTGGTGGTCTCAGAGAGAATATTCATGGCAGCGATGTCAAATAAGTTATCATCACCCAGACAATAAAGAAGAGGCTGGCCCTAGCTATGGTCCTTGGCACAGCCCTCTATATTGATACAGAAACTGACATATGGGATCAGACCATAAGTCCATCTTGCAAAGAAGCATTTCTCTTGCCTGCCTGGGCCACTGTCAGAGAGGGGACACTGTAGAAATGGACTATTGCCTTTGGGACACCAGGAACAATCAGGACACAGAAGCTTTTGGAACTGCACGTGCTTGTGCCTGAGCTGCCACACATATTCTCTGCCCCAGATTCCTGCAGCGTAGCATAGGCTGCAGGGCATTTCTTAGAGTTTTGGTAAAAGGTAGAGTTTTGAAATTCTACCTTTTTTTTTTTATGAATAAAGCAGAAAGGTCATGCCAGCAGCCAAACTGTGATGTTTCAAGTACCATCTACAGAAAATACCCGTTAACTACCTTGCCTGGTTCTGCCAAAGAGCTTCTGAAGAGCCAGTCCCTCTTAGTGTCATTTTGGTGCTAAACCTGTTGTTTCCTCAAATAAGCCACATGCATCTTCTGTGAGCACAATGGCTTTGCTCAGTCAAATTCAGCATTGCAAGCAATTCATTGCTGTGTTCTGACATGTTAAATATTGCAGGCACACACTGCTGCTGTGCTCATCAGTTTGGACATGTATAGTATGAGATACTATTAAACAACACTTTCTAACGACCACTATTTTTGAAGAACGGAAATGGATTTGGAGATTTGGAGATTTGGAGATTTGGAGATTTGCCTACATCCACAAAAGGATTTGCCATCAGAGGCAGAGTTAATACATAGGTGTTCACAGCTATCAGTCTCATTTTCGTATCACTGACACAGTAAGTAAAAGTAGCGATATCTACCAATATCCTACCACATTATTAGAATAACCTAACTCAAATACAAAAAAATTTCCTTTTTTTTTTTTTATGGCATTGTAAAGAGTTCCCTTAAACTTAAAAAGACACTGATCTTGATCTACAAGATCAGCACACTACTTGGGTTCATAATCTTAAATGAAATAGATCCCCACTAACACTCCCTTAGAAGTACAATTACTGTTGCCAACCATTTGCAATGTAATAAATATCAGTATAGTTTCTGATTCAAGTTAAATATTATGGCACTACAGTTCTTAAGTAAAACTATTCTGCTCTGTTTGTGTTATTAACTGAAGTGCTCTGACAGTCCTCAGAAATTATGATAATCAGAGATCAACACACACTTGTGTTGCAGACATCCTAAAGCACTCTGAAATTTGAGAATCATTCTTGACTATGAAACTATATAATATAAACTTTTTTATGCCGAGATACTAAACATATTTTAGAATAACAATACTTGTTTTGACTGAAATCTCATAACATTACATATTTACAATAGCGAAGTTTAGGTCTTACATTGATGTAGTTAATTCCTGCTGTAACTATTTTAGTCCATGGAAGGGTGAATTTTTATACAATAAATGAATACAAGTGGAAAAGACAGACCAATGATTATATGTTGCAGAATATTTGTATATGATTTACACAACAAAGGGTTTGTATCCAGAATGTTTATGGCAAGTAGGATTAGTACAGAGTCTGGAGTGCTCATTGATTTTCATAGTTTAATTCCTCATTTTTACTGATGGTTCATATTTCACGTGAGTGTGTTGGAATAACAGCGTGCAGCCTCAGTTTGGGCAAATAGTGTATTTGTAGCACCAGGTAACTTTCTGCACATTCCTTAACTAAAAGATAATATTTATGTACATTTAAGGAGAAGCTCAAAAAATAAACAGGAGTAGTTAGCTCAAACTGCCTCCTTGTACATACATCATGAAATAAAATATCTCACCAAAATTATTGGTGTGCGCCATGGGGCTATATTTGTTTTTTTTTTATAAACATCAACTTTCTTACATATTCATGATTTGGGATGAAATGTCCCTGCTGGGACTCTGCCTAAGGGTGAGTGTATCTGGAATGGTGTGGAAAAAAGGGATTTCCAGACCACAGCTCAGAAGGAAGAGGCTGAGGAGGAGGAGGCAGATGCCGGTGCCGGCTGTCTCTGAATTGCTCCTCAGGTGCATGGCGGAGTTACAGCAGTAACCAGGAGGAGCTACACGTGCCCTCGCCCTCAATAAATCACAACGCCGTGAATGCTGGAGGCAGAGCAGGCACAGGGTTTGTTACTCTTGGTACACGCTGGGTGAGAGGTACCAGGGCAGACACGGCTGCTCCCTCAGCTGCTCTAACAGTCCGTGTTTCGCTGCAATCGGCAGAGAAAAGTGGGAGTGAAAAACTTTTCCAAGCTGATTGCAGAAAGCTGAGAGGGCTGCACAGACTTGCTTGGGAGGGATCTCTTTAAAGGTAATGTCAAGGTTGTTACCTCGAGCTAACATGGAATGTTGACTCAGGCAGCAGCAGATAAACTCATGGTGCCCCAACAAGGCTCTTGCTCCCAGTGTCTGTCCCTCTTATGGAAGTTTCTGCCTCTGGATAGGAAACTGACACCCATTTCAGTTTGTCTTAAACTGTCAGGCCACGGCTGACAGGGACCAGGACCTGTATTTGTGCATGAGGAGGGTGATGTAAAAAGCAAGATGGGGTGACTTCGTGGGTTTTTCAATCCAATTTAACTCACCGGTGCTCGTGTGGCAACATGTTCATGTTACAATGTGCACCTTATGAAACAGAAAGAAACTGTGCCAAAGAGAGTAAAGAAAATGCACGGTAACTGGCAACCTCCAAAATCATGAAAGTGAATCAAGAGAACTTCTGGCCCTGGAAGGAAAGGCACCAACATTAATTCATAGTCACTGATGTCAAACTTTGGGGGTACAGTCACAACCTGCTGGTCTAATCTTCCACAAACACAGGCCACAAAATTTCTTCCAGAAACAGATGTAAAAACTACAGTTTAATCTTCCTTTAACGTAGCCTGTAATGACCACTTTACTTTTCCCCTTACAAGCTGTTCAAGCCTTCAGTCACTTTCCCTGCCAGGCAATAAAGATTTAACTCGAGGCTAACTTTGTTTGACTTCAGCTGCTAATCCCTGGACTTTGTCACACCTTCATCAGAAAGTCACAAAAGATCCGGTCAGAAGTCTGTGTAAAGAAGTCAAGCCTCAGACACATCTTTGATCAGCTGAATAAACAACAGCCCTTAAGTTCTGACTCTTTTTCTTAGCCATCCTCAAAGACTCTTCAGATTTTCTTTACCCTTCCTAAGACCTGGCTATCAGATGGTATGCTCATGGTTACAGCCTCATGCCCCTTCTGTTACTTGCTGTCCTCCTTTCTGTACATCTCAGGCTCACAGTAACAGTTAATGCAGCCGTAGAGCACGGAAAGCAGAAATGGGGAACAATTTGTGCCCCGTACATCCTCCTTCCCCTGCACTGTGTTGATTCACATCAGCGAGGGGAGCCTGTATTCTCATTTCCTAGATGTATTGCCTTCTAGTTATACCATCAGTTACACAAAAACACACCTCTTTTTGGGTAATGACCATTTACCTACTAGAGTTCAAT